CACAGCACCAGGGACCCGGGTTCGATTCCACCCTCAGGCAACCATGTGTGGAGTTTGCACATTCTCCCAGTGTCTGCGTGGGTACGCTCCGGGTGCTCCGGTTTCCTCCCACAGTCCAAAGATGTGCAGGCTAGGTGGACTGGCCATGCTAAATTGCCCGTAGTGTTCAGGGATGTATAGATTAGGTGGGTTATAGGCAGATGGGTCTGGGTGGGATGCTCCAAGGGTTGGTGTGGACTTGTTGGGTCGAAGGGCCTGTTTCCACACTGTAGGGATTCTATGATTGAACCTACCCACCACCAACGTCAGACTGACAGGTCTACAGTTTCCAGGCTTCTCCTTACAGACTTTCTGAAACAATGGTACAACATTAGCCACCCTCTGGTACTTCACCCATGTTTATAGATGATACAAATATTTCTGCTAGGAGCCCTGAAATTTCTTCGCTAACTTCCCACAACATTTGGGATACACTTGATCAGATTCTGGAGATTTATCTATCTTCATGTTTTGTAAGAGCTCCTGCACTTCCTCTTCTGTAATGTGAACTGCTTTCAAAACATCAATTTTTATTTCACTGAGTTCTCTTGCCTCCATTTGTTTCTCAACAGTAAAAATTGATGCAAAATATCCATTTAATATCTCTCTCACCTCCTGAGGTTCAACACGAAGACAACCTCATTCCTCTTAAAGAGGTCCTACTCTCTCTCTCTAGTTGCTGTCTTGACCTTAAATGTATTTGTATAATCATTTTGCATTATCTTTAACCTTATCTGCCAAGGCTATCTCACATACCTCTTTGTCCCTACACTCTTTATATTCTTCAAGGATTGATCCCAGTTGTCTATATCAAATATGATTCTTTTCATTCTTGACTACAACTTCAAAATCTTTATTCATCCATTGTTTCCTAATCTTACCTGCCTTGCCTTTCACTAACAGGAACATAATGCTTTTGAACTCCTGTTATCACACTTTGGAAGGCCTCCCACTTATCAGTCATCTCTTTACCTGCAAACAGTCTACTCCAAGTTCTTGTTTCATATCCATAAAACTTGCCTTACTCCAATTAAGAACTTTAAACCTTTATGGGACACATCCTTTTCCATAACTACTTTAAACTAATAGTATTATGATCACTAGTTCCAAAGTGTTCCCCTACTGACACTCTGCTCAACTAATAAAAGCAAGTTCCACATGTGTCTTAACGATTGTATCCACCTAGCCTATTGGCTCAGTACTTCTCAGGGTCATACCATAAGCATGTAATCTTTTGCCTCATTAATCCTTCCAAAATGCTTTAGCTCACACTTTACAGGATTAAATGCCATCTGTCACTGTTCTACCCAGCAGAGGGGCAAGAAGCATACAGACTACAGAAAGAAAGTGTCCATTTTTCTCTCTCTTTGGGAAGACAGAAAAAAGCAAGAAACCTGAAAAGAAATAATTCATGGAAGAAAATACCTAAGTTCACCTGATCAATCATTGAATTGTAGTACACCCACAGGACAACAGCACATCAATATTGCAAAAATCAAAAGGACTATGAGTAAAATAATTGTGCACACTGTGATCTGAACTTTTGATTTTCAGTTTTATTTATCCTATGTATATTCTTTTCCCATCCAGAGAATGTTTTAAACAGTTTTTGTCTGCATTAATTGTGACTTTGTACATGTATATTTAGACTGAAGTTTAAGGTGCATAAATTAGAATTCTTTTTATCCCCCCACAGTATTTGTTAGAGCTAAGTGTATTACAATAAATTGTTCATTTAGTAGTTACTGACAAAAACTGGTGTGAATTGCATTCATCCCGAATAGCAGTCAATTGGACAAATTCATCATTTTGATGATCTCATTGGGATTTGACATATTTTCTGACAGCTTGTGAAACAGTGGAACATGATTATCAGCACTCGACTGCCCTCGAAAATGGCTTGGCAAGCCACATGGTTCAAAGGCAATTAGGGACGGGCAACAAATGCTAACCTTGCTGGTGATGCCCAGCTCCATGGTTGATTTTTTTAAAGAAAAAATACGACCCCATTTGTTAAAAAGCCATTTTTAGAGTCCTTTCTGATCACCTGTTCTGGTCATTTTCACGTTACATCAGACACCTTCCTGTGGGCAGCAACTCAAAATAATGAGTTATTGAAGAGTGCCAGCAGTCAGGACATCACTTCAGCAACATAAGACAGATGGTGTTAGAAAAACCTGATCTTTATGGAAGATGATACATATTTGAATCCTCACACAGCAAAACCAGATCACAAACGCTGGTCCTCCATAACTGGATATGCAAAGTCTGATTGCAATCTTTAATACTATTCTGCAGCAAGTGACTCATCTCCTGATCCCCAATCCGTTCCTGCTATCTTTAAGTCAGGAATAAGCAGGATAAGTTAGAGTTACAGAGATGTACAGCACAGAAACAGGCCCAATCTGTCCAACTCATTCATGCCCTCCAGACATCCTAAATTAATCTGGTCCCATTTGCCAACATTTGGCCAATATCCCTCTAAACCCTTCCTATTCACATGCCCATCCAGATGCATTTTAAATGTTGTAATTCTACCAGCCTCCACCACTGCCTCCAACAGCTCATTCCATACATGCACCACCCTGTGGGAGAGTTGCCCCCCCACCTTAGGTCACGTTTAAATCATTCTCCTCTCACCTTAAAACCTATACTCTCTAGTTTTGGACTCCCCTATCCTGGGAAAGGACCTTGGCCGTGCACCCTAACCGTGCCCCTCATAATTTTATAAACTTCTAATAAGGTCACCCCTCAGCCTCCGACACTCCAGGGAAAACAGCCCCAGCCTCTGCCAATAGCTCAAACTCTCCTTTCCTGACAACATTCTTGTAAATCTTTTCTGAATCCTTTCAAACATCTTTCCTATAGCAGGGAGACCAGAATTGAATGGAGTATTCCAAAAGTGCCCTACCCAATGTCCTGTACAGCCACAACATGATATCCCAACTCCTATACTCAATGCACTGACCAATAAAGGCAAACATACCAAACCTGTCTACCTGCCAATCCGCTTTCAAGGAACTATGAACCTGCACTCTAAGGTCTCTTTGTTCAGCAACACTCCCAAGGACCTTATCATTAAGTATATAAGTTGTGCCTGGATTTGCCTGACCAAAATGCAGCACCTCACATTTATATGAATTGAACTCCATCTGCCAATCCTAGGCCCATCAGCCAATCTGGTCAAGGTCCTGTTGTACTCTGAGATAACCTCTTAATTGTCCACTATTCCACCAGTTTTCCGGTCATCTGCAAACTTAATAATTGCACTTGCCTACAGCTGCAACAATATTCAAGAGGCTTGAGACAATCTGGGTTAAAGCTGTCTGCAAAGTCAGCCTAGCGGCACTTAAATACACTTTCAGCAGCACTGGATAGACAAGGATTAACAGTGGGAATGCTGGCTGAATCCTCAGAGCAAGGAGACAAATAGCAGCTCAAAAGATTCAAGATTTCAACCTGGAGCAGCCTTGATTTTAAATTTCTATTAGATTTTCTCTCAGATCTCGTGGAATCATCCTTCCTTTTGAAATTTTCTTTAAAATATTGGGCTAACTGTTCCTGCACTTTCAATTCTATGAAATTTGGCAAACAAGAAAGCTATGATTGGTGCTTCAGATCATGTAGATAAAATGGGAAGATGGCTTTTAGACTGTTCCTGTACTGTATTTTCTCAATAATTTCACATTACTAATAACAAATGGATTAAAAAAATGCAATAAAATCAGAAATCACTTGAAAAACTCAGGTCTGGCAGTATCTGGAAAGAAAGCAGAGTTAACATTTCAAGTTCAGTGACCTTTCTTCAGAACGTTTCAGGTCAAGTGACATGTTAACTCCAATTTCTCTCCGCAGATGCTGCCGAGTTTTTCCAACAATTTCAGATTTTGTTTCTGATTTCCAGCATCCACAATTCTTTGGATAAAAAAATGCATGCTGCCTAAATTAGACAACACATTTTGTGATCTTTAAGTAGTGTTTTATGATTTAAAATTACATTTTTGGCAATTTCCTCCTTCCTGGTTTGAATGTTTTCAACACTAAGACCATTTGGAGTGTCCTTACTGAACCATGACAGTCCACTGAAACAGTGTAAGTTAATGCGCTCCATCAAAAGTTTGTTGAAGCATTAAAACACAGGCACATGCAAGCCATTTCCACCACAATCCCCAGCAATTTCAAGCAGCTTTTTCCCATCTATAACCCGCTTCCTGCAACATTTCCAAACACATCCCCACCCATCTCACCCAACATCAGCTTTTTCGTTACCCATATTATTCCCTCAGTTTCTGCCCACACTCTGCAACCCCTACCCGTTTCCTCTTGCCAACTTTCTCCATCTCCTCCCACCCAATCTCATTCCAATCACCCTGCCCAACTTCTCAACTTTCTCCAACACCCCTCCAATGCACTCCTGCCCAATCTCTCTTCTCTTTCACCCTCCCCCCCCCAAACAGCTAGCACCGTCCAAGCCTCACTTCTTGCTGATACCACTTTCTCTCTACCCACCCCAGTAGGCATCTTCCTTCCCCACCTTGTCCAAAATCGACAACTGCCCACTAGGGATTCCTGTCCATCTCTCGTCCTGCCCCACCTCACACATCTTATCTCTCCACCTATTCCCTCATAAACAAAGACCACCAACACCAGCAGACGACGACGGAGTACCTGCCCCGACTCCTCTCTCTCCTCCTACCTCCCCCACCTCTTTCCCCACACACGCATCTCTGTTTCTTTCCCTCGCCCAACCCCAGTTTGGTTAGGTCAGTCTACCCCTTTCTCTCAGCACACCCCCAAAGTACACGAACGTGTAATCCACGTTCCTCTTTCCCCCAATACCTGTCGCCCTCTCCGCCGCCGCCATCTCTTCCTCCAGGTGAAGCACGGACAGCCGCAACCCTGCAGCAAAGCGCTTTCCTATTGGTCGCTCAGCAGCAGCCAATCAAAGTGCTCCATGTGAGCCCTCGCTGACAACCAACGGACAAGCGACTCCGAGCTTTCGGCTGAGCCCCGGACCCAGACCCAGACAACGATAACGCTCCCCCCCGCCCCGCGAACCTCGCGAATTCTGCTTCCAACCCCTGCCTCCCCACCAGGACCCTGACAACAATTCCATCTATACCCCCCTCCAGTCCCAAAAGGGAGAAACCGCTTTCAAGGCATGGAGAAGGTGACCTTTGACCGTTGACCCTGAAGGGCCGGCAAGAAGCAGCGGAGTTGCAGGTGAGGAATGGAGGACAGGGAGGGATGGAGCTTTCGCAGCTTAGGAGAAGAGTGGTGAGAGGAATAGGGTGGAGAGTTTGAGGGGAGTGGGGGTAGAAAGGATGCGGGGATAAGGGTTGAAGATTGGGAATTGGGGGGGAGGGGGAGTGAGAGGGATATGGGTAGGGATGGGGGATCGGATGTGTAGGGTTGGGCAAGGCGTTTGGGGGAACGGATGTTGGCGGGGTGTGGAGGTTTGACGTAGAGAGATAAGGGGAATGGGAAGTGAAATGGAGGGACAAAGGGGCTGATGGGCTGAGGTGAGAGGTAGAGTGGTGCAAAGGATGAACCGAGAGATGGATGATAAAGATTGAGGGTGACGGGTCAAAGTTGACAGCAAGAGGGGTAACAAGATGGGAAATGGGATGGTTGGGTGAGTGTGATGAGGGATAAGAAGTGAAGTGTTGTGAGATGAAATAAGATGTTGTGATAGAGCTGGGAGAGATAGGAGGGAGGGGTGTGGCTGGAAAGGGATTGGAAGAGAGAGGTGAGAGGGGGATATCAATGAGAAGGGTTGTGTGGAAGGAAAAGTGTGAGCAACAGAGGAGAGGGTGGGAGGAAGAGTAAGAGGGATGGGATGTAAGGGGGTGGAGAGCTTGTGAGCTGACGAGAGAGATTGAGGTGCAGGTAAGTTGCCATTTCACCTGGAAAGTATGCCTCAAGCCTTGGAAATGGGAAGTGATAAGTGCGTAAGTATTGCACCTTCAGCGATTCCATAAGAAAGTGCCGTGGGGGTATATGGAGGTGTTGGCCAGTGGACTAAGCTGTCCTGGAGGGAATGGTTCTGCAGAATGCTGACGAGAAGAAAGAGGAATATGTGTTTATGGTCTTTGTACACCCTCATTTGTACTCCCCGTCCCAGATGTGAAGCTCTCTTTATCCAGCTCTCCCCTCTTTTCACCCCACTGATTTTTTAAGTGTCTCTGAAAGGGCCAACCCTAATTGTTAATTTTAGGGCTGCAGTGATAACTATCATCAACAATTGCACCTTCTGTAGCTTTGAGGACTGTCTGCTGTCCAAAATAAATCTAAATAAAGTTGGAAATCTGAAAAAAAGGCAAAAAGTGTGGAAGAAACTCAGCAGCTCTTTCAGTAATAGAACTGACAAAAGTTCACTGGACTTGAAACGTTACCTCTTTCTTTCTCTATGGAAGTTGCCAGACCTGTTGAGTTTCCCCAGCACTTTCTGTTTTTGCCTGTTCTCCAAGTGTATTCTCAGGACTGGAATGTAGACATTTATTAACTTCCATTTTGATTTGATTTATTGTTGTCACATGTACCTAAGTACAGTGAAAAGTTGTGTTTTGCGAGCAGTGCGGGCAGATTATAACAATTGGGACATACAGATCATTGCGTGCGTAGACAGTGTGCCACAAGGATCAATGCTGTGTCCACTGCTTTTGGTCATTTATATAAATGATTTAGATGTGAACATAGGAGGTATGTCTAGTAAGTTTTCAAATGGCACCAGAATTGGAGGTGTAGTGGACAGTGAAGAAGTTTACCTCAGAGTACAATGTGATCTTGATCGGACAGGCTGTTGGACCGAAGAGTGGCAGATGGAGTTTAATTTAGATAAATGTGAGGTGCTACATTTTGGAAAGGCAAATCAGGGCAGGACTTGTATGCTTAATGGTAAAGTTTTGGGGAGTGTTGCTGAACAAGGAGACCTTGGAGTGCAGGTTCATTGTTCCTTGAAAGTGGAGTCTCAGGTAGATAGGATAGTGAAGAAGGCGTTTGGTATACTTGCCTTTATTGGTCAGTGCATTGAGTATAGGAGTTGGGAGGTCATGTTGCTCTGTACAGGACATTGGTTAGGCTGCTATTGGAATACTGCGTGCAATTCTGGTCTCCCTGCTATAGGAAGGATGTTGTGAAACTTGAAAGGGTTCAGAAAAGATATACAAAGCTGTTGCCAGGGTTGGCGAGTTTGAGCTATACGGAGAGGCTGAATAGACTGGAGCATCGGAGGCTGAGGGGTGACCTTATAAAAGTTTATAATATCATGAGGGGCACGGATATGGTAAAAAAAACAAGGTCTTTTCCCTGGGCTATGGAGTCGAAAACGGGACAGTGTAGATTTAAGGTGAGAGGGGAAAGATTTAAAAGGAATCTAAGGGGCAACTTTTTCACGCAGAGAGTGGTGTGTGTATGGAATGAGCTGCCGTGGGAAGTGGTGGAGCCTGGTACAATTACAACATTTTAAAGGCATCTGGATGGGTATATGAATAGGAAGGGTTTAGAAGAATATGGGCGAAATGCTAGCAGTGGGACTAGATCAGTTTAGGATATCTGGTCAGCATGGACGAGTTGGACCAGAGGGTATGTTTCTGTGCTGTATATCTATGATTATGTGACAGAGCGAGTCATAAAGGTTACAGCTGTACAGGAGGCGCACAAAGCAAGATCAACATTATTTGAAATTAGTAAGATTCATTCTAGCAATATCAGCTCATGTCATTTGTCAAAGATGTCATTAGTTACATTTTAACTCGTATTAGCACTCTTGGATTGCTGGTGATATGCCTTTGGAACCGTCCATATGCATTGAGGATGGTTGTGCCTGTCTGCTCATGACCAACACACCCCTCAGATTAACCTGGAATAGACTTCTTGAGCTCTCCATGCCAGTTGTCATGTATCATAAGAATCCACACTACTTGTGACCATTGCACTTGTAGAGCTACCTTTTTTAAAAGTAATAAAGAAGGATTCCACATCACCCTCCTCAAATTTAGGAATAAACCTAACATATTTAAGGACTTCCAATCTTTGTTGTGGGACAGGACAATTTGGACTATTACTGGGTAAAGAGGAGATTTCCCTAGTAGCTTTGATCCATCTAAGCACCTTTTGAGCTTGTAACTCTGTTTCCCCAATTTTTGGAGCTGGGAAACCCATTCCTTTTCCCTCTCTTTCTCACTCACTAAACTCATTGTTCATTGTGGGGACGTGTAATAAAAGTGGTATAAATGGACCAACAGTGTTCGATTTCCATCATCTGATTTGTGATAGCTGGAGCCATAATGTAAAATTGTTTTAATAAAGGAAACATACTTAAAATGACTGCGTTGACCAGCTGACCAGGTTGAGCCAAGCCCATAAAAGCATTGTTAAATCCAGGCTGAGCTGACTTTAGCCTGCTCTCAAAATTATTGAAACCTGTCACTCAGATCTGAATCTCCTGTTTGACTTGCATTTGTCTGAAAGTTTCATGTATTGGGAAGAAGTCACTTACAGTTTATCTAACTTGGGAAACATAATGAAGCCAGACAGAGGAATACACAAAATGAACTATATTTCTGGCAACTGCTTTTGACCAGAGCAGAGAGAAGAAAATGGGTTTGTAGCAGAACTAGAAGACTCCATTTCTCCTATTTCTTTTAACTTCTCATAAACAGCACCCAATATCAATCAGATTGAAGAAATATCCATCCCCGAAAACTCAAGGACATCTCCAAATTTTGCCGGGTCAATTGGAGAACTCGTTTCGGATTAACACTTCAAGACTGTGAAGAATTTTTCAACTATTGTTGATTGTTCCCTTTACTCGACACTCTCCCCTTTTTAAATTTTATAACTGTATTTGTGTTTGTTGCATTTTGGGGTTAGTTAATAAAATTTTTATTTCTTCCATCAAGAAAACTTATTTTTGTTGAGCCCAGTATTTTAATTTAACTGTGAAATAGCTACGTGCTAAAAAAAATTAAAAATCTTTGTTGTGGCTAACCCTGAGGGGTTTAAAAACCAGAGAGCTAATTCACCCCTCAGTTAGCTGGTCACCTCAACCTTTTGTTTTTGCTGTGTCTTAACAATCCAGTAGATTGTAATAGGTTAGAGACAAAAATACAGCAGATGTTGGAATCCAAGGTAGACAAACAGAAGGCTGGAAGAACACAACAAGCCAGGCAGCATCTGGAGGAAAGGAGAAGTCAGTGTTTTGGGTATTACCCTTCTTCAGGACTGGATGTGAGAGTAAGGGAGCTGCAGATAAAGCTGGGGGGGGAGAGGTGTAGCAGAATGATGATGATAGGTGGACACTGGTAGTAGGTATGACCTGGTTTTCTCTGTCTCTCAACTGATAAAGGCAAGTGTCCTGCACGCTGCCCTCACTACCTTATTATCCTTCAGGGATCTGTGGATAAATGCCACAAGATAGATCCCGCTTCCTATTCGTTCATTAATTCTTTCCCATCCCCTGCAAGGATGCATTATCGGCCTCCTACTGTGTAGCCAAATTTCAAATGAACGCCATCTACAAGTTTGCTGACGACATCACCGTGGTAGCACTGATATCAATTGACGATGAGTCAGAATATAGGAAGGAGATAGAGTGCTTGGTGTCATGGTGCAATGATAACAACTCTCACTCAGTGTCAGCAAATCAAAAGAACTGATCATTGACTTCAGAAAGAAAGGAGGAGGACATGCCTCCATCTACATCAACGGAGCTGAGGTGGAGAGGGTCAAGTTCCTAGGAGTGATCATAACTGACAATCTGCCCTGGACTTCCCACATAGGTGCAACAGTCAAGAAGGCACAACAATGCCTCTTCTTTCTTAGGCGGCTTAGAAAATTCGGCATGTCCATAAGCATTTTCACCAACTTTTGCAGATGCTACCATAGTGTTTTATCCGGGTGTGTTACGGCCTGGTATGGCAATTGCTCCACCCAGGGCCATAGGAAACTACAGAAAGTTGCATGTAGAGCCCAGACCATCCGGGAAGCCAATCCCCGATCCATAGACTCAATTTACACTTTCTGTTGCTGCAGAAAGGCTGCCAACATCATCAAAGACCTGCCCCAACCTGATAATGCTCTCTTCCAACCTCTTCCATCAGGCAGAAGATACAGAAGCTTGAACACACAGGTTCAAGAACAGCTTCTTCCCTGCCGTTATTAGACTGCTGAATGGATCTCTCTAACTTAAAATAATATTGATCTTGCTTTGCGCACCCCTG